CAGAAACACTTTTTGTTATATTCCATGGAATGCTCTTAACATCCCGATAGCAATGAATATATTAAATGCTTTGACAATAAATACATTACAACATTTCATCTGTGGAAGCCGTGGCGCTGTAAAAAGCATGCGGCTAAAATAACTGGATGGCCTACCTGTCTGTCAGCCTTCAATCTCGTGCACAAACTTATCTCGTGCCCTCATTGGTCATGTGCGCGTTCATGTGTGTTGGAGGAGGGGCTCTGTAAGGAAGTCTGAAGGAAGGGGCAGATTTTTTTCGGCTGCGTACTTTCAAATTCTAGCGCACTCGAGCTGGTTTCTCCATTCTTACCTATCCTACCTTTAACTGAATCACACACAAATCTGAATTGGTGCCACTTTACCTGAGTGTAGCCTCCATGTTGCCAACAGAGGATGCTGTGTAGATGCACCAGTGGAAGATATTTGGGACGATTCTCAGGAGACTCATGAAACATTTTTGTACTTGGTGAAGTCCAAAGTAGGATCATGTTGAGATGAAAATAACAGACCTGCGTTATGTGTAGGCAGCATACGCATGATTCACTCAGTATGTATGAAGAAATGCCACTCTTTGGACTTTTTCAAAGAAATAAAAATGGATAAATCAATTTCTTTGGAGGCACGGTCTAAAGAGCATTTAGCTCTACTTTTGACTCAAAGTACAAACCGGTTACTACTAGAGGAGAACACAAAAGGAACAATTTTGTGGTTAAATGTTGACAAGATTGGAATTTTGAAGTAGTGTCAGTTTGTAATGACTGCAGGAATTGAAATTTCTCTTTATTAATTTAGGCCTGCTGCTTTGTTGCTCGAGCACCACAGGCAAGAGACATTCAGGAAATAAGGTGAAAACATTTCTATGAATAACACAATTTATTCGGTGAATGATAGGCTGTGAAATACGATGCACACCACTCTGGGCCATCAAAAGGCAGCTTCAGGGAGAAGCTGCATGAGGAGGCATTATCAGGCTTGTCAGCACGGCCTGTCCAAAATAAATACCATTTGCATCTTTCTTCTATTTATCATCTGTTGCATTATGCCCGCTGTCCTCTCTTGCTGCTGATTAAATTTCCATTAGCCATGCTTACTAGTTGTGCTGAGGAGGGCGCTCCTGAAAAATGCTCTTTGAATGTGATTGCTCCGAGAGAGTGGAGGTTGGGTAATGACACGGTGGCATGATTATTTGTTTTGGGATATGCACCGTGTGACAGCGTGCCTTTTTCCACTGCATCTCTGGCTTCTGTCTCGGAGGCTGGCAGGAGGAGAATGAAAAAGCAAAGAAGCAGATTGAAGGGGTTGAATACAGAGAAAATTGACGTTTCAAGCTAAATTAAAACATATTTTTGCATACTGCATTCATGTACTAAGATGACAACCACTGCTTGAGGGTGTTCGGGAAAAAAATAATCTCTCAGGAAGCGTGTAAGCCCTGCATCTGCATTAAACATGAACATTAAATGCATTTGGATTTTCATATAAATACTGTACATGTCAATGGTTCAGTTACGTTAGATGTATGTATTTAGCCTAAAGTCATACATTGACTTGCCTTAGACTCTTGATAAATGCTGGACAGTTGTATAAGGAAATCATTCAGGTTCTGAAACACAAGCATCAGGAGGATTTCTGTGTTATGCTTCTGAAGAAATTGGATGTTTAAATGTGCCGTTATAAGCAGAAATGATGGCATAAACTCAATTTCCATCAACATGAAATCTATAAGCCACAGATGTGGTCAGTGGGATGTGCGATACAAAAGGATAAAACTAATGACCATCCTATATAAACTACAGATGACCACTTTCAGAAAGAAGACAAAGGACCATGAAGAAATGAAGCTGCAACTTTCTCTAACTAGCTGCAGTTCTCCCTGGTTCCTTAATGGCTAGCTGGATTGATTAGTGTGGGGAGGATGGGCGGCCGCGCGCCCCCCCGCCTCATTACTCTCAGTTTGCAGGTGTTCTCGATGCTTCGGTACCCCCGGTGCCTTGGCACAGAGAAGACAGAGGACAGAGAGCAGACCCACCTCGTTCATCTTGCACGCTGTGATGGAGGTCATGCAGGAAGGCGCTCTCGCTCAGAATAAGTCGCTGGGAGTGACAGATGGAGACGCAGAACGGGAGGGAATCAGCTCAGACTCAAAGTGTTCATTTGTTTTTCATCTCAGGAAGGCGACTGCAGGCACAACCCCGCCAGGCTTACTTTTATGGTTATGTAAGGCACCCTGAGTCCTGGCGTTTGAATTTTACATCATCTTGAAGAAACTGCAAGTGTGTGTACTGATTGCGTCTTTATTGTAGGGTTTGTGAGTGCATGGTGTCAGATTGGCTGTGGTGGACGCATAATGGACATACAAATAATGCAGCCATTTCATTTTGTTCAAGATGTTTTGAAAGGTATAAGACGTCCTTAAACAGGAGTCTAGGAGGACACAAGGAGCAGGGTTGGGATTCAAGACATGCATGTTAAAGAAACTCATCCTGTGAACTGAGGTGTATCCTCTTTGGAAGATAGCGGCAGCGGCTCCATAGAAACACATCTATCAACACACACAGACACACACACGCACACGTAAACACAAAGGACAAACCAGTGGATTTGCTGGTCAAACACAGTATATTCATCTGGGATTGTTTACTGGGACAGATGTCTTTCTTTGACAAACTATGTGATGATTGGAGTCTATTTATGGACAAAAAGGACCGCCTTAATTTGTTTCCATTATATGCATATTATATATACAGATACAGACATAGATATAGATACAGACAGTTGTTTGTCTGGGCTTCCTGTTGGATGGTTTTGAAATCAGAGCACTAATTAATTTCCCCCCACAAAAACATCCTAAAATATCTTCATTGCTTCCAGAAGGAACAGCACCTGGTTCATCTCATAGTATCAGCAGCACATCAGTGTTTCATCTGGTTTTGATCTCAGCATGAAGACCGTCCCACTACTTTGATAATTTTGAATAATAACAATAGACATGGTGGTCTCAGCCTCTCCAGCTCAATGATGCGGGGCCTTTGATGAATGTGGACGGCACTTGTCACTGCGGTGATAAAATATCGTATTTTTGACAGAGAGTGGTTGGTGGTTCTGCAGACCGAGGTGAGTTCAGTGACAGAGGAACCACACAGGAGATGAGTTTGAAATGAGGTTATTAACGTTTAGATAATTAGCCATGTTTCCTCATTATGTGATAAAAACCTATCCGGGCCGCATTACATTTCTATCGGACGTATTTGCTGTTGCGAATTAGTATTATACAGCCATAATCTCTTGGCGACAGGCTCTTTAAAGTACTTATTTGAATTAAGTCACCAGAGATATTTTAAATAAAAGCGTTCAAACAAAGTTTTGTTCCTACGCTTCATCAAAGTCTGAAGGCGTAGCGTCCAAATGGCCGTCCAGCTTGTCACAGTGGTCCTAATTGCCATGTTAGAGCCGGATCCGCCTGAGACACAGGTCTCATTATTCTCACTTTTATTTCACAAATACTTGCAAATTCTTTCTTCCCGACTTCAGCTGCCGGCACTTATTGTCCCATCTCAGAGCAGAGTAGTTCTGGATCATAAACTCCATCTCCTTACATTAGCATATTCTCTCCAGAGCCCCAAAGTCTGCACTCGCCTCGACCGTCTTCTCAGGTGAGAGCGGGGGGCCACATTAAAAAGAAAAAACGTTTCAGGCTTTGCCGATTGCAGGAACTCTGCGATTAAGCAATGAGCCCAGACCTGTTGTCTTGGTCTCTTGAACTCCTGAAGCCTATTGTTGTGCGCTGCGTTATCTTGACAATCTCAGTGGGCTTTAATTATTGGACCACTTAAAGTGTGTTGCGGAGTTCATCAGCGCTCTGTAACACTCAACTCAGGGCTGCCGAGAAAGAAATGCGGGCGGGGGGGGGGGGGCAATTACAGTGTAGAGCAGCTTCAGCTTGTCACGGAGGAATTCAGTCCTCACATTTCTGTTCCAGTCAATAATTCAGCCGCTGGATTTAACCATTTGTCATCACTTTGCTGCTCTGTGGCTTTGAGAGGGACTGTCAGGGTGGAGCGGCGGCTCCAGGATGGCCAATAAACTAGGAATATTGAGGCTGACTTTCCAACAATTCAACTTCATTCAAAAAACGACACATATGCAAGTTTTCTGGTTTGATTGGCACATCGTTGACACCTGGCTGAATGCTCCATAGTTCAGGATTGTTTGGGAAAACTTGGTTATAGTTGGGCATCATCACGTGACATTAACTTGAGTTGAGGGAAAGGAAAGTTTGTTTTCATGGATAAAATCAGTGACATCATGGTGGTATGACGTCATCTTCCACGTGCCAGGTAATGGAAACACAGGGGTGGAAGAAGTACTCAGATATTTTACTTAAAATAAATAGTCCAGTGTAAAAATACTCAGTTATAAGTAAAAGTCCAGCATATAAAATCTTACTCAAGTAAAGTACAAGTACCTACTTAAGAACAATAGTTGAGTATGACATTACACCACTAAACATTATTTGTTTAAAGCATTTGACTAAACAATCATTTATACTAAGGATACTCTCCACATTACTCTTATTTTTTTCAGCTGCAAATGAAAGACGTAGTGCAATAATATTTGTTTTACTGTTTAACAAAGTCATATTTTTTTTAAATGTCAGGGACTTGGGTATATATATATATATATATATAAAGGATACAAATAATAAACAATCATAAAAGCATTTAAGAAATGACAAAATCCCATTAAAAAGAGTGAACCAAAGGTTGTTTCTACACAGGAACCTCTCATCTCAGAGTATCTGTTCATTTAATGGATGACTTGGATATTTTTAGTCTGTAACATGTTGTTATGAATAAATTATTTCATTCCACGGCGGCTCCACAGTGAGTATGTTCAGTCCAACCCTTTTCTCTTGAACACATATGAAAGCATCGTGGATGTGAAGGTCGCTTCAGTTCAACACAAACACAATTACAATCCATCATCAACTGCCATTTATTAGTATCAAACCACTGCTACAAAATTACATCAAACATGATGAAAATGGACTTGCATACGTGCTATACACAATGTAAGCTTCAAAGTAATTAAAGTACATGATTTTTTTTTATTTCTGGACAAATATCAATATATATTTATATATATTATATATAGATATATCAATTCCACTTAAAGCCATATATATCATTCCAGTGATCTAGAGCCTATAAATGTACAACTATATCCCTGGTGGCTAAAGGACCTTCAGACACATTTAAGTAAACATTTCCAGACTTCTCTTCAAATGGTTTATCAGCATGGTGATTTGAACATTGAAATTAAACAAGCAAATAAAAAAAAAATGAAAATAAAAGTCCATGTAGAAAGATTGTTCTGGTCAACCGCGTGATATTTATTCCCAGTTTTTGTAAAAAAGAAAAAGAAATGGCATATATGGTATCCAATTTACAGAAAGAAACCAGAAGAATTGCTGCACCTTGTTACCTTGAACCCTGCCAGAGGTCACTCCATTTAAACAAACACCGCACAGGAGACACATTTGATGAACTGGTGCTACAAAGACCTGATTTGCTGTGTCATTCAGTGTATATAAAACCATGTGTAATCGGCTTTTCGGGGCATGAAAACAAATGAAACAAGATTACATTTACTGTCACTCAAATAATGACATTCTCTCTATGTCAAACCCATTCAATCCTTCACCAACACTGACAATTACCCCGGAGCTTTACGTGAAAACACTTGGCTGCGTGTGATTCAGTCCTCGGCGTCATGGAGGGAGAGACCTGCCTGAGATAGCTTGCTTTAAAACCCAGGCAGTATCTCAGGCTCTGCTTCATTGGCTGGCAACTTATTTTCCACTTCAGTGGAAATAATGAGGGACAGGTTGACAAATACTTGATGCAACTCCCCATTGGCAGCTGCCACACGATCAGGGGGATTTCAAAGGAAGTCACACCAGTCAGAAATTACTCTCTTTTTGTACCAATTGAAACATGTTTTCTTTCAGAATAAATCCAACTTGCCCAGAGACAGGTAACAGAGGAATAATTTAAATCATTTTCACTCTTTCTGCCTGTGCTTGTCAGGGAGGAAAGCATTTCCTGCTGTGCAACAATCATATCTTCCAAACTGAATATGAGCACTCAAGAAACAGAGTTGTTTTGATTGTGACATCTCAGTCTGCTGCTCAGGGACGAGCGGTGGCGACTGCAGGAGCGCGGCAGCGGCTCCAGGGTGTCGTGTGACACAATCTCCCAGTTTAAACTGACAAAGGCACAGGAAGGGTTTCATTAACCGCGGGTCAGGAGGAATCCCTTTTCAACACCTCCTCAGCGCTCATACTGACACCTTTGTGAAGAGCCAAACACTATAGTCATCCCCATTAGCTATGCCTTAGTTTTACTGCACAATAATGCAGTTTTACTTATATTTATTTGCAAAATAAAACTGCAAACACCCAACATTGAGTGGTCACATCGAGCATTATGGACTTAAACACACTCTGACCATTTGCATTAGTTGCAATATAAAATGACTCGTTGTCTGTATTTATTCATGTCTGTATTTGAAGACTGTACAGTAAATGCGCCCCTGTTGCAGCAGCAGACACAAACAAAACACTGATTTTGTCATTGTGTTTCTCACAAGTTTCTCACAGGGACTGGTGGCACATCGCCTGCACAATCATTCTTGAGGTTTGTTTAAACTCAAGCTGTGATATTTTTTACAGCAGCAGGAATATTTTTAGATCATGTCAGGTACAGTATGTCAGTTACACAAAAGATGAATAAGCATGCCCTTCCCGTAATAAAGAAGGGACAACAAACTGTAATGACCTGATAATAAGCAGGAGAAAGATAATCTGAGCGGATCTGTTTCTGTTAAATACACATGACTGAACTTAAACTATGCATCAGTCCTACTAATTATTTGAATTATCATGACATTTAACTGTGTTTAATTCATTTGTTTTCTATGCTACTTTGGGGTTACATGTGTTAGAATAACTGTTAAACTTAATTAGTGCTGCAGTTTGCTTCTATGTTGACACATTGAATGCTCAGCCAATGTAATATGAGCAACCAGCTTAAAGAGTGTGGAGCATTAGAGCTTTCTATTAGGGTTTGTTATGACTGATACAATATTTTAAAGGCACATTCAGTACAATAGTTGTCCCCCTTTAAGACTCAGCTGTTGTATCATAAATCCAACGTTGTTAAAATGCAAACAGAACAATATGATTCTGAAGCGACCGGGTGAGAGGAGATTTTGAAATGGACAATTAAAAAATTCAGAGTGGGGGACGTAATAATACGCACTGGCATGAATATTTAAAATCCTCTTATCTTAAATTTAAAAATGAAGGGATTCCCCCCCCCCGGTGTCAGCTGGGGACGGTGGTGAGGCAGTGATCTCTGCAAGAGGGTGGGGGGGGGGGCCTGTTTTCAGCTCGTACATCAACAGGACTTTTTTAAACTGGACTTTTTTTAAGAGGTAGGTCACACAACCGTGGATTATTAATCAAGAGTGCATTCAGGTCAGAGGATACTGAGAAGCCTTGTGCTGTTGTGGAAAAAAAGAGGCATAATCGGCCGCTGATGCGCAGTGATTTACGTTCATAAACATCTCCAGATCACACACACTGAGCGACACACTCCAGTCAATGATGGCGCTTTGCTAACGGTGTTTAATCCTATGTGCTGTGGCTTCCGGCCATCTGGGCTCAGGAGGATTTAAGCAGCGTTCGAGGGCAGAGGGGAGGGGATCAAATGCATGATACGGCAAAATTAAGATGACTCAGTAATTCAGACTACGCTGTACAAACAGACTGATATATTCCCTCATGCCTCGCTCACACTGCACAGTCCCAGCAGTGTTAGTTTCATTAGGGTTTAACTGTTCCCTCGGCAAATCTGTATTTAGCTTGACGTCAACTTAAAAGACCTTCACAATTCATCTGTGTCTCCGAAACCAGACCAATGTACTGTTACTGATATCGAGCGATAATATGCAGCTGCATAACTGTAGCACCTAAAGTTAGTTTAAATTATTCTTAACATTATTTAAAAAAGGAATTATATCTGGGTGGGACTAGTAGTGGTCAATTTCTGGTAAAAGTGACAAAAGTCTTCTGACAAAAAAGCTGCAGATACTTCATGTGCCATCTAAATAGTTGGAAGAAGCAGCTAGTCAATTCTAAATGTTCAAAGATCTTGATTTAGGTGATCCAAATACTAATGTGTGAATAATAGAACTGAGGGATTGTGAGTATTATTAAAATAATATCGGCTAGCTTTAGCTGTCACTCAGTGCTCCACTCCTGTCCATCTACAACATATCAGTGTGGATATTGACATGTAGTCCACCCCTCAAAGATGATCCTTTGACCCACATATTCATTACGTAGCTGGTTTTAACACCAAAAGGACGTAATTCTTGCTAAGTATTACAGTCATGTTTTCCTCTCTAGTAAAAGCCATGTTGTGATTGACCTAACCCACTTGAAAAGTGTTGAAACAGCTTATAAAGTCTAAAAATGAGATGCCTAATAACAGCGGTGACCCTGCCCCTGATTTAAGAGGAGATATCTGTGTGTGAGGAGAACATAGTGAGGAGATAGTTTACATTTTAAGGAGGACTTTCTCTTAATGGTGCTCTCTGGCTCAAACCCTGTCCCAGTGATAATGACAACCCGAGATGTGGGTTTATAATGTAACATGAAGACTTTTATTGCAAATTATAGTGAATCAATAAAAGGGATTGTTAATACCATTATTGAAAAAGAATTACTGTAACATCCAGTACATTTCACATGTATGAATACTAGCATGGTTTGCTTAGACGAGCAACACTCCAGACTGTCACCAATGTGCCACAATAATCATCATGACTCTGAACAGCAGTGTTTTTCAGTTAATCAGCAAAGGTTGATTAAAATAAATCACAAACAAACATAGCCGGCTGGTCTGTAAGAGGTTTGTATTTTTCGACCAGGTTTAAGAACCAACGGTTTCGGAAAAAACTGTTTCCATTCATAAAAAGTATGAATATTTGTAAAATGGCCACCTCAAAAACACAGGTTAACTTTGACATGCAGCACAACCATACTCTCTGCACATCGGTAAACACGCGAGTGTGTGAAAACTATGACTACACACTGGCTCTAAAGATCAAAAGGTATCCTATTTTCTCCAAATATACACACATTGATTCTGTTCTATAATACTGTTATATTGGTTCACACCCTCTCTGTGGCAAAAAGTAGGTAATTTGATTGCAAACGTTTTCTTTTTAATGTACTTGTCTGACAGAAAATCCACAACAGCTATGGCATCTAAATGAACCCGACAACATTAGAAACTATGCCATACTGTGCCTCGTTTCAAATAAATGTCACATATCCAGTTTTACAAGTTTCAAATGTACTTTTTTATACATTGTTTTCATAAAGGAAGAGAATAAATATACTTCTGACCCATTTTCATACCTTAACATTTAAACAAGATCATATGGTGCAGTATTTTTATAATTTGTAAAACAAGCTGATAACAATTTCATTAACAAACAATAAAATCAAATGTCTAGCAGACTCTTAAACAAATCACCACGAAACGTAAAGGTAATAACAGTGTTTGTGCTTTAAGTCTTTTAACTGCGATGGCTATTTCTCTATAGGTTTGCAGTTACAAGTTCATGTGAAAATACTGCGTGAAGTAGTACTTGTCTAGTCCCTCGATCGTGGGGCAGAATATAACACAGCCCAAATCCAAACATTTCAACCTGTACGACGACAAATACTGATTTTTATAATATGCAACTGGCTTGTTTTGAAAATACCTGCAAGAGCCATGAGTCGAGAAATGTAGTTTTGACTAAATATAATGCCTGTTCATAAAGATAAGATCAGCTTCTGGTTCATGAACATTCAATAAGTACTTATGTTTCAAACTAATGAGCTTTATCTTATTGAGAGTTTCTGGAAGTGTCCTTCTAAAGGAGGTTCATTTCATGTGGATGGTTCTATTAAGGCATTACAGTACAGTATCTGTTTACACCACGAAGTGAAGATACTGGAGGATGATTATGCCATGAGAGTCACAAATAAAACTGTTTCTAGCCTTGATATGTTTGATTTCAGTGAATAAAAAGCCACATTTTCGTCAATTAAACAACCTCATGGTTCATTTATATTTATGCTGGACATTCACCGGCCCTGTGGCGCTGATCGGCTGCTTAAATAAAATGGACTCTCATCTAAAAGGAGCTCATTGCACCTTAGGGCATGTTTGCAAGATTTATTTTGTGTTTTGTTGCTCGTCGTTAGCATTAAAAGGACTGGAGGCAAAGCAAGTTTTATTATTGTACGTTTTTAGATAACATATATTGGTGTATAAACCAGAAATCTCAAGTAGCATGACTTCCGGCTCTCTGAATGTCCTTTATTTGTTAACTGGTGCAATGCTCTACATATATTATCTGTAAGAGACTGTAATACATTAAAGTATTGATTTATCTGTAAAGAAAAACAGAGGAATAAAACACAGGAATGCAGAATGCTGCGTTCCCGGAGTCCATTATTTAGATATCTTGCCAAAAGTTGAAGGCAAAATCCTCCAGCGACTTTCAGTGTGCAGCTGTGGGTTTTCAGCCAGACGATGATCAATAGGTTATAATAATAATTCATAGCCTAACGCTGTGCTCAGACGCCCACTGGAGGTGGCCTGTTTCAAAGAGCCCAGTCTTTAAGAGAGAAGCGTTCAACAGTTGATCTTGGGCTCTGCTTTTTCTTCTCAACTGCAACAGTTTGTTGTGACATTCATGTTTGCGGACTCTCTGAAAGAAAACGTGTTGAGTTCATACTGCCGTATTGATATTTTCAAGAAAAATGTAAACATAGGGCCGCGATGTTCCTCCCTTCTTACTGTACAAATTAATGAACTGTGTTAATGTTCTTGGTCGAAATGAGAAAAGCTGGTCCCACTTTAAAACAAAAGCCTACACTATATTCAAATATAAAGATACGATACAGTATACTTTCCTACTTTGACGGTTGCCTGATCAAATCTGTGAGGCAGGCATATAACTGAAGGACCAATTTCAGAATACAACAAAGCACACCTTCAACACTGTTCATCCATCTAGAGAGTAATCATGACAATACAGGTCCTAAAAAAGCCCTGTCTTTTTGTTCTTTTGAATTTTCTTTTTTTTCAGTTTTTTTGTATTTTTTAAGCACACTCCATAATCTGAATTTGTATTGTTAGGAATCTAAATGTCTTTCCTTTGTTCAACAACCCATAATACATTCAATACAACATTGGTATGGTAATTCTGTGTACTGAGAGACTTGGCACAATTGCTTCTTTTCTAGCCATGTACAAAAACGGATGAAAATGTTTTTGCGCCATCGCCTCCCAGAGCATCAAAGTAACTCATTTTGGGAAGTTTGGGGGCCTTTTTGAGATGATTGGAGGTGGGGGGTGGGGGTGGGGGGGAGCACTGATTCACAAGGTGAGGTGAAAGAAGAGAGGAAATAATAATAATAATAAAAAAAACATCATCGTATTTACATGACAGAAATTTCACCAAAAAGCATAGAAAAAAAAAAGGTAAATATCCCCACACAATTAACGCTGATTATTTCCCCCAATCACGGCTTTTCAACAAACTGTACCAGATTGGATTCCAGCCTTCAGAAATGTCAAAAAGGACTCATAAATGCTCTCGACAGTCATTGTGTCCGGACTGGCGCCTGCTAGTACACGCTGATGAAGGAGGCGAGCGCCAGCACCAGGCACCAGCAGGCCAGCGGGACGTGTGCACTTCCTGTGCTCCCATAGGGCGCAGTGTTGGGAGCTGTGGGCGAAAACAAGAGAAGCTCTGATTAGTTGTGATTGCACTTTCAACACCTGAAAACCTGCGGGCCTCGCATGGTGCTTCCAAATGGGACGGTTAAACCTGCAATTACTGCGCCACTTTAGCTGTTCAGAGTTGGTTTCTCCGTTTAAAGGTGTAATTTATACTTTTATAAGACTGCTGCTACTGTATAATGAAAGTCTGGATATTTGCTTTTGTAAAAGTTCATTTTTTTCATTATTCTTAAGGAGGAATGTTTTCATGGTGAAGTAAGATTTGTTTCTCGTCTAAATATGTATTAAAATATGTGGGGAAAAACTGGTTGCCACGCTTTTTCCTAATCTAAAATTAGCCATACATTCTTTTTAAATATAATCTTAGCTAATTGTGTAATAATAGTTTAACATTTTTGACCAACCAACAGTTATTGAAATGACACCTGGTGAGAGGTTCAGAGGCAAAATCACTCCCTGGTGCGACAGCTAACAGATATCTTTTTAAAATATGTTTTTTGGGCCATTATTAAATAGATGCAGCGTTGAAAGGGAATTGTGACAAGGGGCCCAAACTAGACACCATTTTAGGGTCTACACCAGTTCAAAAGTAAAATCTTTAAGCACATACACACCAGTAGTCCAATAATACAGGTGTTTTAACTTATGAGGATGTGTAAAATCTAGGCTTGATAGACAGCTCTTCCACTATGCTGCACATGTACTGTAATGGGCGGGCCAACTGACCCTGTAATTATTCCTATTGGTCCATAGATTTAACCTGACTCGAGGTCTAATGAGCCTGAATAATTGAAAACACCTTTGTGGGTTGCAGGTCCTTTAATCTAAAATTCATAATTTAACAGCAACACAAATGAAATGGAGCAGAAAGCACTATCCCTCTCTCTGTGGAAGTGTTAAAGTATTAGGCAGCACTGAATGAAAAAACCCAACTAACCACCGATACTAATATATTCCAAAACACTTGTCTTCCATTTCATATTTTTCTAGTTGGGTGTCAAAACACTTCTCCTCTTTCACATTAGTGTAACACAAAAAAAAGCCAACAGTGAAGAGAGGAGAATAAATGAGGCCAGCACAAGGTCTTTTTTTTCACATTCCTATCAAAGGCTTTGTGTTGTGCTGCTTGTGTTTCTGTGACCAGCAGACAGCCACAGTAATATGACCAGGCCTCTCCGGAGAGCTGCGTCAGGAGGAAGAGGGCAGCCTTTCATTTGGAGGGGCTGCTCTGCCTCCTCAACAACAGACACACTCTTTTAGTCTGTAGCTCAATAAAGCACAGCTCACAAGTTACAAATCATGCTGTCCACACACACACACACACACACACACACACACACACACACACACACACACACACACACACACACACACACACACACACACACACACACACACACACACCACACACACACACACACACACACACACACACACACACACACACACACACACACACACACACACACACACACACACACACACACACACACACACACACAATGAGGCTTTGCAAACAGGCTCTGCTCTACCAGGGGAAATCATGTGGTGCACAGCCCATATCAGCAGGGTGCCTCTATTTACACAGCCATGTAATTAGTTCACAATGTAACTCCTCTGATGTGGACCTCACGTTGCACAAACAAACCGAGCACAGCCAATAACAAAAATATCCAATGTACTCGTACTGTACACTCACAGAAGCTGTCCATACAGTATAACGTCCATATCTTAGTGCATTTCTCAGGTAAGTAGCGGATAAGGGTTGTTCTGCCACTGTGCTGTTTTTATTGTGGCTAAAGTATTCATTCAATAAGAACCAGAGCTGGATGTCATTAGAGTGGCATACGGCTGTTGGTGCGTCAAAATAAATACAATGATGCAGTGATTGATCCTTTTTTTTACCAACATAAAAGCTTGTTGGAGTCAATTTCCACAGGGACACACACACACATCCCATTATCACCTGACACAGCACTGCTTTTACCTGATATTTTCAAGCATTATTCGCTGGCACTGAAGTTGTTTACCAATTAGAGTGAAACCTACAGCTCAGCTGACGGACAGACAGAGGGAGGAAAAGGGAAGAGTGGAGAATAGAGCGGCACAAATGTTGACGATGTGTGTGTTAGATGCACGGCCTCTCCTTGTCTCTGCCTTTCTATCTTTGTCTCCGCTTTCTACCCCTCTCTTTCCCTCCCTTTGTTTCCCTCCTCTCTCTCTCTCTCCTCCTATCCAAAGTACAGGATAATGACACCGTTTTCCTGGGCTGTGAGAGCGAGCCGAGAAATGGTAACCATAGCAACTGCTCCTGTCCTGCTCAGCCGGCCCACTGTTGCCCGAGCCTGAGTGCGCTGCATTGTGCTAGCCACGCTAGCAGAATCATTTGGGTCGTGTGTTTGTGTGTGTGTGTGTGTGTGTGTGTGTGTGTGTGTGGTGGGGAATAGGCAGATGCCACTATTCCCCTCCTACAGTTTCTCATGTGATCAGTGTCAGAGTAGTTTCTGGCTCAGTAAATGCTGCAGTAATCACATTAATAACTTGTACACAACTGCTCTTCATGCAGCAGTTCAGGGGGCTCGGCAGGTAATTACTGGTGCGATGCTACGATTAATGTTGACTGGTCTAGAGAGCGCAACATAAACCCCTCCGTACTTCAGGAGGGGAAGTGAGGTTGGGCGATAGTCTGTGTTACTGGCTTCCTGCCTCCTTACAGCTTTGATTTTAAGGGTGTTTAATATCTCCCATTGTCACTGAGAAAAAAGCAGAGACCTCCATTGTTTTGACTGTGTGGGTTGTAACTTTCCATTTTAATTAACTCCCCAACCAGGAACTGCCTGCAACACCATTACTCTGCTTATTAACATGAAGGGAATAGAGAGGGGACAGAGACAGACAGGAAGCGAGCAGATACGGGGGAGAACACGGAGGAATCAAAGGAAGAGAGAGCAGGGAAAAGAGACAGTGATTGAAAGGGGTGCGAGAGCAAGACTGCAGCAGCAGCGGACAGGAGAGAGAGGAAGAGGAGGGGGGGTCTCTCTGAATGAGCTCTTCCTCTTTTGGGTTTGAATTTAATTGCCATGTACATCAGCAGCGAGCTACAATGAAGTAGCGGGATACCAGACAATATATCATAAAGAAACCAACAGTGTCAAGATGCGCAAATGCTGGGAAGACAAGCGGCACTCCAAAGGGAGAGGAGTGGGGGAGAGGACTGGGGGAGATAAGTGGAGATGAAAGCGATGCGCTTCGATTACTGTTTTGCAACCAAACTGAAATGAAAAACTTAAGTCTCTCTAGCTCAAGCCAGATTCATATAAAAATAACAATTCCTAGTTTTCTCCTCTCATTCTGGACTGAAGCCATCAGCTTTAAATAGTGTGCCGGGAGCATGAGCCACTCTCTCCCTCGCTCCTCTTCCCTCCCCCTTCTCACCAAAATCTCCATCGACAGCAGTTTTGTCACCCACATATCATATGCACAACAACTGCTAAGGCCCTGAACCTCAGTCACTGTTGACACAGATAATGAATCATACTGAAATATGCAACAGTGACACTGAATGCGGGGTTTGTTTTGAGTATCATCTCGAGTGTGATGCACTGCACTGTAAATCTCTGGAACATCATCATTCATTAAGTGATAGCATGAGCTGCTTTCCCTTTCCTCTGGTCGGCCCTTCAACCGTCACACATGCTGGGTTTGAGCTCCTTTCAGAAAGCCTCAGTCTTGTTTTATCTTGGGTAACGTTTCATACATATTCCACAAGACAACACATGTGAAAAAGCAAGGAGAATAAAACAGAATCTGCCCTGTTTTTATGTTGGATTAAGTCTCTTGATTCATTCTTTTGTAGTTTAGCGGATAATTCCTCCCTTGAGTTGGTATCCTCGGAGCAGGCTGTCATGAGTGGCGCTCAGACGGCAGCGAGCCAGGCAGCATCCCAATCCCCCCGAGGACACGGCTTCAGAGATGGGCTCTTTTGAGCGGGGGGGGGTGGGGGAGGGGTTCAGTGTCCTTGACCATCCATCGGTGGCCTTCGGTCCTCCCCCCCGCCGCTCCCCTGCGAGAGCCCGCATGAGACACTCCTGAGCCAGAACTGATCCTGTACACACCATGCTGTAAATCGGGATAAATCCCTCTACATGCAGGTTCACAGCCGCCACCAAGGGTGTCTTTGACAGTACAGCACTAACTAAAAGCAGGGGGGGGTTTTTCCAGGGGAACTGCGCGGCTGTTTGGTAAAGAGTTTAAATGGGATATCATGCAACGCTCATGACATTTGATGAGGGGGATGCCTCACCTTCAAAGAACACGCTGTGCTCCGTCGTGTTTTAAATGCTTAAACACCGAGAATGTGAAGCACTTTTAAAGAAGGCGATCAAGACATTCTCCTCGCTTTACCTCACTTCAATCCACTGACAGTGAAATACTCTCCTCTGACGCTCGGCTTGTACGCTCTTGCCTGTAGCAGCCTGCCATATTGAGTTGCTGCTCAATTGAGTTGCCGACCCATCAGCTCATTCATCCCTTTCTCTCTCCATTCCTCTTTACAAGCTAAATGTTCATCATGGCCAGATATGATGTTCAGAACTCATCACCTTCGCCTCCCGCTGCGATCATCACACACTGCAGCTCCATGGAGCCTTCATTCACACGGACCTTCAAGCTCATTAGCCCCACCAATCATTTGCATTAGTGCTAGTAATGAAAAGCCTCCATTAATAAGATGGCCTTCAGAGATCATTTACCCTCCTCCGCCTCTCAGTGCTGCCATAACCTCAGCTCACCCCTCCCTCCTTCCCTCCTTCTCTCCTCCTCCAGGTACCTGCCGGTTATCAACACCCAGCAGAATGCTTTTTGGGGCTGGACCCTTTAATAGCTCCTCTCAGCATCAGTATCTAACTGGAGAGTGAATGAGTGAGAGAGACGGGTCACCTGATAGCTTACTGAGTGCGCTCGGGGCTCTCGATTGCAGGCAGGCTC